AAGTTATTATTCACACATAATGAATCTCAAAACTGAACTTAAACACAATACTTGAGATGACTTCATGTACTGCCTGTTATTCTCCACCTAAAGCATGAAAAAACAACTCTAGAAAGGTATTTCTAAACCACTGCACTACTTCTTGGTTCCAGCTGCCTGCATGTAAGATGAATTCTAGGCTACGTGGTTTCAAGACTTGCTGAATTTTCACTGTTAAGGTTATAGCTTCTCATAGACCATGTCATGGCTCCTTCCAGCAGCATTCTCTACCAATACCAGTAAGGTCACTGTAACTACATACACAGGAATCAAGCCCACATGGCTTCAGACATCCCCTTCATGCACGTAACAGGCCCGCTTTTCCTTCAGCAGTTTTTCCACTCTGTAAGATGCAGGTCTGATTTCAGGGCTGTTCATCCTCATCAACACTCCACAAACCAACCTCTGCAAATGTAGAGTTTCTCCCACAGGAAAGGTAAAGACATTTGGAGCTAAGATTATATAGGAGGAAACAAGAAGCCTCTCAGTCACTGTCCCCACAAGGAGGTCCCTTCAGCCTGAAATCCAACTGACAAGTCCTGCTACATCAGCTCCTACTTGCAAGCCTCGTGTGTCAGCTCATGGCAGCAGCTCTTCCTGCACTGTCCTCCAGATCCTCCAACCACCCTGCGCCAGCCAGCCCATCCGCAGAGCCTACAGCCCTCTGTGGAAAACACAATGGTTAGCACAACAGAAAACCCAAACTGCACTGTCTTTTGAAGTTTTTATTTTTATACATTTTTTTTTTGTATTAAAAAGGAAAAAGCATAATTACCACAAATTACAAAGGACTAAAGCATTACTAGAATAATGAATCACATCAGCCTAGAAAGCAGATACTCTGAATAATATTAATGTTATAATACAAGCTCTCATTCAAGTATTTTACATTTTTCTCTTTTCCTTTTATATGCGATGATGATCCTAGCACATGGGTCAAAGATTATGTACTATCGACAGAAGATGGATCATGTACAGCGGGCCATATTAACAAGATTTTCCTCCCAACTGATAAATGGTCTGTGATGAGTCATTTTAAGTTTGTCTCTACGATAAATGCGGCTGAAGAAGGTTGCACACACTTTCTAGTCTGGGGAACAGAAGGCTGAGGTTGGGATATAGCCAGTCTGAGAAGGGCCAGCACATCGAACCATCGCCCTGTTGTCCCAGCCACCGAGGCTGAGGTCTTACCCACGTGACCTGAGCGAGTCGGAGCAGGCAGGCAGAGCCTCCCCTGGGTACAACTCAGCGATGGTTTGTGAGATCCAAGGATTTCCAACCCCAGCAGGAGCGAATCAGGCTGGGAGAGGAAGGGGGGAGCAGGGCGGGCTGCCTTCCCTACGGGCATACATCTGCACCAGGGAGGCTCGGGGACCAAGTGCTGCAAGCACCCCTCCCATGACAGCTGTCACCGTCCCCAGCCCACCCACAAGACTGCCACTGGGAGATGGGGACAGGAGGGCAGCAAAGGCCTTGGGTGACCCAGAGTGCTGCAAAGGGGTGGTGGTACCTGGGTCGGTCCATGCTCTTCTGGAGCTCCCCACTGAGGGGATGTGCTTGTCACAGATACGTCGGTCCTATGTTCAAGTGTCTGCAGAAAGTGAAGCTGTAAACTACTCATTGAAATGCTGCCCTCCAGGCACCCACTCTGTGCCACTGAGATGAAAATTTGCTTTTTAAAAAAGTCATTCTACCTGTACTGGAAACTTTAAAAAAAAAAAAAGAAAAGAGTCAGTGAGGCATTTAACATCAAGTGTAGCAACCCTCTCTAAAAGAGCCTAGCATCCATTTCTAAACAGTGACAGTGACATAACCAGTCTCAGAGGAAACAGGAGAAAATAAGCATTGCAAACACAGCTTGCTACATTTACAGTTTTCTTTCTTTTTTTTTTTTTTTTTTTTTGTTTTCGTTTTGTTAATATATTTGGAAAGGCATTAACAGCTAAAGGCCCCCTCTGCACCGCCACGCTGAATGTGTGGACACGTGGCAGCATGCTGAGGTTCACAAATCATCGTTACAGTACAGTCACCAGCCTGAAGCAATGTGAGCAGTTGCCAAACCTCGAGGGAACCCATGGGCTACAGCAAAAAGCTGCTGACGGGGGGGTGCAGCAGGGAGAGGGACAGACAGGCAAATGGAGCAGCAGTACTATTATTATTATTATTATCTTTTTTTCCTTTCCCCCCCTCCCCCCCAAATGAACATATTAAGCAACAAAGTCTCCTCTGAAACACACCGTCCAGCTCTACTGCTGACCCCTGCCAGAGGTCTGGAGCTGCTGCGAGTGCCTGCAGCCATGCAGGGGTCAGCAAGTGGCATTGCAGTCACAGGAATAAGAGCACCTGATTGCTCAGATGGTTATAACAATTTTAAAAAAATCATTGTATATGATCGTGATGAAGCATCCAAACTAAAAGCAAGGCCAGAATCCTTCCTCAGCAGGAGGACAAGAGGGATCCAAGCAAAACCACACTCTGGACAGCTGTCCTATTTCCCTGGGGCGGAGTGAGCCACGAGCGACGCCTGATGCACAGTGCCTGATGCACAGTGCCTGATGCACAGTGCCTG